ATGTCACGAAAACCTTATATGTCCGGGAGTCAAAATAATTGGAGAATGTAAATCCAGTCTAATCAAAGATACTTTACTGTATTTAGGTGTAGATATTCTTCCTTTTAACCGAATTCAGTTGACAATTTAAAGCTTCTTCGCCGCCCGGCATAGTATACAATCGACTTGATTTTTTGCAAGATTTTTTTTTGCGTCCAAATGTTGTGCACAATTTTGTATTTTTGGTGAAGATGGCTTGCAGGATTTTTTTTTTCAAAATCATCCACCCTCGCCCCTCAAAAGTTAAATGGACCGTCCCTAAGAGGCCCCTCTCAAAACACTGGCAGATTCAGGATTTTTCAAAGGGGGGTTCCACTTTGTTTTCGCATTTTCCTAAAACGAACTTTTTTACTGTGCCTCTCGAACTGTAGCAAATGTAACATGAGTGTAAGTTATAGACAGTGCATCTTTTAAAGTCTCAAAACGCTTTACAGTTCTGTGTGGGTACATAGCAGCCAATGTGGTAAAAGTGTAATATAAACCGCTTACCTATTGCCTAAGATATAAGCCAGCTACTTTTTTTTTATTTTTTATGCTCAAGGGGGGTTCCTAGAAACCCCCCTGGATCCGCCACTGTAAAAGGGCCAGCTACGCAGGCTAATAAGGATATTATTATGATTATATTTCCAAGTGTTGTATATACTTGTTGATGCTTTGATGACTGTATCTTAATCATGACATAATCAATTCCACTCAATAATTTAATGTTTTTATTTCCAACAAAAAATAACTTGAAAAGAAAAGAAGAAAAAATGATAATGTTAACAACCTCCTGTACTAGTAATATATAACTTATAAATGCAGTTTTCCATGATATTCATATTTTCTTAGACATGAATAACCTTTAATTGAGTCTACGTCACGTAAAATCGAAGAGCAATCATTATGAATGGCATTCGACACATCGGTGACTTCCCTTGACACTGTAGCCTTATCTAGCCCTAAAAGTGTCTCCTACGATTTGCAAGAAACTGCCACTTGCGTAGACGTGATATTAGAGTACAAACACTAAAACTGTGCTGCAACATAAATACCACTAAATACTGCTAAATCATGCTAATTCTATTGTTTAATTAACACTATTTTGTAGTAAATAGTGGAAAGTGTTGCACACATTTTAATGTTTGTACTCCATAAACATTAATATAATGCTGTCCTTCATTTAAGTTCAAATTGATTTTTTCTTTTTATAAAATTAATTACATTAAGTCTGCAGTCTCTACACTTGTTTTCAATTCAGTGTATTACTTTGGTTATGATCAAATACAATGTTTTAGGTACTATTTTCTTTGTGTAGTACCTTTTTCTGTGAAGCACACAATGCTCCTTTGTGTCCATCGAAGTTGTTGTTAATGCAGTTTGAGGAGCATCATTGGCATGTAATTTTTAATTTTGTTTTTGATTACCACAATTTTCCACACCACTTTGTGTGTGGCAAAAGATATCCTAGTTTATGCCTGCTGCAATTCTATTTGAACGTTGCAAGGCATGCAGCTTTGGCAGATAATCTTTTAAAACATAAAAATGAGCTCCAACTTTATTCCAGTCAGCTTCTTCTACCCTCTGAGTACAGCACTTACAGTCAACGTCAAACGTTGGAACACTCTTGGCAACAAAACCATGAGAYACAGTTACATAAGCTCGATGATCCTCAATATTGTCACATGCTTGTTGTTGAAGCAACCGCTCTGCTGTTGTATGATAAACACGCTCTACTAATCTAGAGCAAGCTGTTGTATACTCTTGCAGAAACTTTTCAAGTTCTTTAATTCTTTCCATGCAAACCTCATTTTTAAGCTCTGGWGTCAGGTCYTCATAATCCTCGTCACTAAGAAGTGATTTTGATGCCCTGTATCGTGCTTCCTCTATGCACTTTGCCATGACATCTTTCAAACAAAATCTTTCTGCAACATTGCACAAATGCAAGCAGTTTGATTCTTCAACTGCTGATGTCATGAACTGAATGCAAAGCTTCCTGACTTCGTCCATCTGATATTCCTCTGCAAGTTCCAGTAGGAAAAAGTAGTTATCCTCTGCAAATAGGGAAAAATATACCATGATTCAACAGATCAACACAAAGTTTGCCTAAACTTTTATAGGGCTACAAGTATTGTTTAATGATTTTTACTCCAGTTAACTATCCTGGAAAACTCTTCCAGGATATTGACACTTGTACTTTATGATACATCTGTGCCAACAATAATGATTGATGACAATGATGATGATTACTAATAATGGAAATACATGATAACAACGACGGCAGTAATAGTGAAAATGGGAAAAATAATCCTACCATTCACTTTCTCTTTTGTCCCATTTGAATATATCACTCTTAGAAGAACCTCGATTTCATCCTTTTGTTTCCCTGGTAACGGGACTTCTTTTGCGTTGCGTTCAGCAAAAGGTGAATTGAACATTTTCTCGAAAACAGGGGACCACATTGATAACGTACTTCTGTGYACGTGAAAKCTACGTCCTTCCACAACGAGAACYACATCGCTGAAGTRCCACGGGGACGAAAAATCTTKTCGTCCGTCAAAAGCTCTGTTTGTGACTTCCATAAAGTTGACTAAGCCAAAAAATATAGGTTCAGATCTTTGCAAGCAAAACTTTATAGTTAAGCTAAATGGGAAAGCTGCGCAGCGTGTCAATTTCGCAACAGACGGCGAAAGTTCAGTCCGCTTATCTTTATTTGCCCTCTTGAGACAATACCTCCAGTGATTTTACAATCGGCTGATCCAAGTGCACGCTTGCGCGGAACAACCTCAGTAATTTCACTGTCACCCAAAAAAATAAATTCAAAATGTATTTTAAAATGGAACCGTTAATAAAAGATTTTAATGGTATTAAGCCATTGGACACCATTTTATGAACTATTCTTGAYTTGTTTATGTGTTTTTSAGCTGACACAAGCGAAATATKACGATATTGCTAATATTGTGTAATTTTGGGGGTGATTTCACAAGCTCGATCGAAACAGCGGAAATCTAAAAACAATGGAAAATAGATTAAATTTACCTGATTTTCTGCTACAAAATCTTTTTATCGTGCTTTGTTGTGATTTTTTTCAGACTATTTTAGCAGATTTTTTAGAGAACTCGTTCGGAGGTCAAAGTTTTCCTGTCAGCACGCTGCGAACACTCTGTAACACAACAGCATAATAACACGGTCACGAAGATAYGTAACGCAACACCACGATATCAGCTGTGATTGCGAAATAATTGTCACTTTATATGAAAGGACAATAAACTTGTAAAAAAACGATTTTCAATCTTTGAAAACAGAAATTGAAGAAAGATAGAAAAGAAGAATAGAAAAGAATAGAAAATATGCACCTGGGGAAAGCAATCTCGAGCCCAGTGAAAAACGTTTACGGGCCAGCATAGATATGTGGTCAGTGGAGATCTCCGTGAGAAGTAGGATTCAAAATGGCGGAAGAAGAGCATTTACAAGGTTTGTTGAACAAAAAAACACTCTGTTTTACTAACAAAGATAACAAAGATCGACTTAATATCCCAGCTGTCTTCGTTAATGATTGTGTATTTAAAATGAGTTGATTTTGTGCCTCCTTCCTGTCTTATTTGTTTTTAAAAAGCGTCTTTATTTGGTAAGCTTGAAAAAGCTTTGAAAAATTTAGTTATTCATTTCAAAATCATTCATTGCTTAGCTGTAGTGTGATCAAAATAAAAGACAGCCGTTTTAAATCGGTTTACAATGAATAAAAAACAATGTTCTGGCATCACAGTATCTTCGGCTTCAGCTGGTTAAAACTAAAGAAATGTGTGTGAATCAAAARAATATTGYTCAWTCCAAAAGACAGCTCTTTGAAAAAAGTTAGCAATCTGCACAATATCTTATTATAGTTTACTGTAAATGTATCCACTGCATTGTTTTCCTGTTTTAGTTTTGAAAAAATAAATATGAATAAATATTATTAATATATATATAATTTATATGTATTTTGATCTGATTCATACTGATCTTTATTGATTGCTATTCAGACAAGGAGAAGGAGGCATACAGCCCTTTTGCTATTATGAATAACAATAGTATTATTGAGTTTTGGTAAGTATGTATATGTAATATAGTCCTTCACGATATACTAATTGGGATTACTGTGTCCACAGGAACCCCAACTAGTGCATAAGATCATAAAAAAGAAAAAAATGGTCAAAAAGTTATTCTACTTTGAGAATTATTGTTTTTCCTTGTCTTTAGTCGGACRTCTCTGGCAGCCATGGCAGGCATATCTGCAGGAATAMTGGGTTTAACAGGTCTTAAAGGGTTTGTTTTCTACTTTGTTGCGTCAATATTAATGTCTGTGTTCATCTGTTGGAAAGCTGGTTCAAAATGGTCCAAGTACTTTGTGTCRTGGTGGGATCTTAGTACATCAGGAATTTTAGGTGGAATTTTTGTATCCTTTTCCAAACTAAAAATAGTGACAAAAGAAACTTTCTTTTGGAGCTTATGTTAATTTATTCAATCATTTCACTCTTCACTTGTATATCATTATATTGAACTATGATCATAAATTTCTTGATAAGGGCACCATGGCGACACAGAAACGTCACAGTGTGTTTTCTTTCATTATCTTTCCTTATATTGTGTTTAAACATCTTCTTACAAAAAAATGAAATATATCAAAGACCTTTAAGTCATCTATTTTTCTTAACTRCTTGTTTTATATACAGACCTATCTTTTATTCTGGACGTATCCTTTTGATAATTGAATTTGAATAGTTTTGGTTGAATGTTGAATGAATTTATGGATAAATGAACAAAGGGATGGATGAATAGATGAGATATTTGAAAGGATGAATGAATAAAAGATTGTAGCAATAAATAATTAGAAATTGAACAGATAAATATATAAATGGCTAGATATGGATGATGTTATCTGAAAAACTACAAAATGAATGAATCAAAAATGAGAGAATCAAAAATTAAGAGAATAAAGACTGAAATAAAGGGATGTAGAATCAATGAAATGCAATGTTATACATCTTAACCTTCCTACAGGTTTTTGTACGGCATGGTCCATGTGTACTAGTATTACTATCATAAGTACAGATGCAATAGCTATATTTCAAAACTGTAATTCATCCATAAGTGATGTAGTTGTACTGAATAACAATGCTAGTATGGCTCAAAGTTTTTCATGGAACCTTTTCCTCATTATTGACTAGTACATTCCGTAGAATCTTTCCTGAATGAATGGAAAATAAGTCAAGAAATACAAAATATTTATTTTTATTACATAGTCATTTAAAGAAGTTCTGACTGACAATATATAAATGTATCAAATGTAAAGAGTAGCTGAATCTTCAAAGTAAGCCAAACCATTTAATTTGACATGAAATTGCAGAATATGTTAAAAAAAACAAAGAAGCATATTTTAGAAAGTTTGTATGGTTTTAATCTTGAGCGAAATTGACCTGAAATTAGCCATGATACACCAGATATAAAGATGTATGCAGTCAGAATTTCGGCAAGTGATTGTACAACAAGTGTATCTCAGGAAGACCTTAATGATATAAACTCCAAAACTTCCTACAATTAACAGGACTTAAGAAAGAATGACACAGACAATTTTGTATAGCGTTTATCCTGCAATATTATTTGTCATTTTAAATTTACGTCTTGAAGTTCAGTTTTCCAGGGATAATCATGATGTTAAGTGTTTTTTTTAATAATGTAATTCTGGCTGTTTACCTTTGTGCACTAAAAGAATTGGAAATTTAATTTACGTGGAAACATAATCGTAAAATCCATAAAAACGTAATATTAAAAAAAAACAGGAGTTGTATAAATTTGGTTTTATTGTTACCCTGATGCATCTATACTTAACACGCATTCCGTGTGGTATATATGATCCACACAGGTTGTTTGCGACAATTGTACAGTGTCAATCAACCTTTAGGTAGTTGTAGTGAGTTGTAGGCTTGATTTACACGACGCATTTCGTGTTGTATGTATGTGTATGACGCGCACAAGTTGTATGCGACAATTGTAAAGTATAAATCAACACTTAGGTAGTTGTAGTGAGTTGTAGGTTTGATTTACACGATGCAATTCGTGTTGTATGTATGACGCGCACAGGTTGTATGCGACAGTTGAAYAGTGACCTTGTTGTAGACAAAAGTTGTACAGTAAAGGCTGATTTGTCGATTTGTCGCGCGCGACTTGTAGTATACGATTTTCCTACTACAAGTCGTAGGATTTTAAGCAGTGGTTCAAAATCCTACTACAAGTCGTAGGTTGCGTACGACTGTTGTAGACAAGTCGTAGGGGCATTTACACGGCGCGATTCAAGTCGTATACTACAAATCGCACGAGACAATCGTGCCGTGTAAATCAGCCTTAACAGTTTGAATCAACCTTTAGGTAGTTGTAGCGGAATTTTGGCACAAGCTACACAGCTCCGATTGTGCTTCCTTTGAGCTTGGTATTCCCGTCTTCCCTTCCCTGACAACCTTTACAAAGTTTAGGTATTTCATAATTTCCTGCCATGTGGTCCCCTGTGACCATCTTGTGACATCGAATGAATTGCTGTCGATCGAACTGGTACTGGGGGTAGTAGAAAAACATTAGACAGCGAAAGTATGACATATCTTAACTTTGTTATGGTCGTTAGGAAGGCAAGACAGGAAACACTATAACGAACAGGAAATGTTGGAGCTCGGTGGCTTGTGAACTTGAAGACGTAAAACAGAGAATCAAACTCGAGTTTTGTTCATTTTCCCTGTCTTCCATTCCCTAACAACCTTCACAAAGCAAGACATTTCTGAATTTCAAGTCTTTTTTTTTATCCTTGGTTTTAAAATCTACAGACATTTCTTTTTTACATACACCCTTTATCGTCTCGTTCGCTCAGTTGGTGTGGTCTACTGCTCGCTAATTACTATACACGGCTATATGAATTGATACAGCAGGCAGGACAACATTCAGTTGTTGGACGCAATTGACAACGAATTAAGTACTGATTTCATCTCTTGTGAAATTAACTTGAATCGAAGGTAAGTGGGAAACATTTAGGAAAGCCTACGTACTTCCACTATATTTAGTTAATTCTCCAACCCCGTTATGTTTTCTTTAGAGTATTACACTTAATTACTCTATTTTACACGTTTTCTTTGTTTTTCATTGAATACTATCAGAACGCGCCGCACAAGTTTTCATTTTCTATGTGGATAAACTTTCAAAGCACGCCATAATCACATATGGGGAATTGAAAACTTTTTTCAAGGGAACAGTTGTGCAAAAAGATAAATTTACATGTAACACCGTAAAAAAGTAGGTAGCTGAAACAACTTACTGATATTTCGGACGTTAATCGCAGTCGGCTTTATTAGTATGCCGTATTCTGAAAATTAATGTTTGTGGTTGTGATGCTGACCGTGTCCTTGTAAGTYCAATCCGGTTACAGAAACGCTTGAAACTGATTTTGCTCTGCCACTGCATCACCAGACTCGTACCCAGTCGTAACTCGGTTGCGCAATCGCCGCGCTGTGAAAACTTATCATACGTTTAATGAAAAAAAGCCAATGAAAGTGCACTTTAAAATATCACATTATTGAAATATACAAAAATATTTTCAAAGTTATTCTACAGATATTGCAAACAAACATTAATGTAGGAAGCTAATCAAAGACAACAACAAAAAGAAAAAAAAGAAATATGAAAAAAGAAAAAACTTGAGTMKTKGGATTCGAACCCATGACCATAAAATCGAAAAAAGGTTGGGACGATTCCCCCGAGACATTCTGTGAAGCTGAGGCGGCGAATCGATTTACATTCCGGTTAGAGATTTCGGCTCTTCCATGCTATCCCGATAATTGGTCCTAACTTCGCGCTAACTAAAAAAGCCAGTGAGGGAGAAGCTATCCGGCCCCTAGACACTGATGGATAACCCCTTGCACTAACTAGGCAACTATCGAAAGAATAATGTCAAATTGGGGTAGTCTATTCGGCGAAAGTGTGGTCTATTATTATGTAAATGAGCGTGGTCCAGTGGCGCACCGCGTTAAGGCGCTGCTTGCAAAACTAATGTAGGTTTGACGGTAGCGGGATCGATTCCCTGGA